GAGAGAGAGAGAGAGAGAGAGAGAGAGATTATTTGAAATTTTGTACAATTGTTTTAATTTAATCGTATTTAACAGTTAATGGAGTTTTACGAAAGAGTGAGCGGCGCTCGTATGCACGCGGCGTACATAAGACCGGGTGGTGTGGCTCAGGACCTCCCGATTGGTATTATGGACGACATCTACCGTTGGGCCGAACAGTTTCCCGAACGGTTGGACGAAGTGGAGGATCTGTTGACTGATAACCGCATTTGGAAGGCCCGTACGGTCGGTGTCGGTGTGATATCGGCTGAAGACGCGCTGAATTGGGGAATGAGTGGTGTTATGCTTTGCGGGTCGGGAATCAAATGGGATTTACGCAAAACCCAGCCCTACGACAGTTACGAGGACTTTGATTTCGATGTACCCATTGGTCTGAACGGCGATTGTTATGACAGGTATTTGACTTTAAATGTTAACTTGTATTTAGTACTCAAAAAAGAGTATTAACTAATGTTAATTTAAATAAAATTTAGACACCATTGCCGTGTAGAAGAGATGAGACAATCTGTAAATATTATACACCAGTGTCTGAACCGTATGCCCGCCGGAGAGGTCCGCACCGATGATAACAAAGTGGTTCCTCCGACTCGTGCGGAAATGAAGTCATCGATGGAAGCGTTGATACATCACTTCAAACTGTTTACGGAGGGCTATAGTGTGCCCGCAGGCGCCACTTATACGGCCATTGAGGCACCGAAGGGCGAGTTTGGCCTCTATATAGTGTCCGACGGCTCGTCCCGACCCTATCGGTGCAAAATCAAAGCGCCCGGATTTGCCCACTTGTCCGCACTCGACTACATGAGCCGCGGCTTCTGTCTGCAAGACTTAGTGGCTATTCTCGGCTCTTTGGATATAGTGTTTGGCGAAATCGATCGATAAGATTGTTTCCGGTGATTGACCGACAACTCTTTACCCGTGCCTTCCGTGTGACTCATTCCTATATACCGTGATATAATTTTTACCTTAATTATTTTAATTACATATTTAAGTTTGTTTTATAAAACAAAAACTGTACTAATTTTAACGATAACTTAATTGAATTAATATAAACATGAATTTATGCAATGATTTTTATAATCAAAATAATAATTTTATTTCAAATCTACTGATAGAAAGCGATATCCGTTTTAGTAAATTAATTAAAAACATGGTAAACATTACAAACAATTTATTAATTACGTTGAGATTACAGTTAGCGATAAGAGAGGGGGGACGAAGGGGTTGTTGAAAAATTGTCAAACAATAACGTAACTCTATATATGAATGGCACACAAATCTCACTGCAATGGGCCGTAAATAACGATCAAAAAACAATTGCAAAGCAAAAACCATTCATAACTACTGTAACGTGTGATTAGCGGCTAAAACCATTCACTAATTAACACGTGATTAAATTGACCGCAAAAACAACAAGCAAGGACATTTTACCATCGGGTGGACTCAATTAGTGCGGACACACTTCGATGGCAAACATGTTGAAACTATTATGGCTGCCGACGGTATCGGTGACCACCAGCGCCGCCTTCACGACCGCCATCGCCAACATCAGCGGCCTATTGTCCGTCAAACACGTGACCAACACGTGCTCTGTCGCGGCCATGAGTTGCGGCTCCATTGGTGACGACCAGCGCTACCACAACCG